TTGTACTACTGTAGTATTTTTCCAGTGTGTATTGTTTCATTTGTGATTTAGCATACTGAGATGACATTATTTGATACAATTTGATTACCAATATATTGAAGCATAAACATGTGCAAGTCTAATAACTTATTCCTAATTGATGTCACAACATTTAATATACAGTTGAGATGTGTGTGATCGACAAATAAATTCCACAATTTTACAGACACTTTGATGTTTTGATTCACTTTAACCACTCTCAGCCACAACAGGTTGTATTTTACAGTGGCCTTGAGAACTGAACTCACCACAACGTAAGGAAACACATGCAAATAGAAAAAAAAACACAAACAAATTAAGAAAACATTTTCACCAATTTGAAAACACATGGGAATAATAAAAAAAAAAACAGTTTCTGTTGTTATCTGTGCTATTTGCAATTTTTCTATATTTGGTTCTAAATGCTGTGCAGATGTTATCAAACTGAAAGATTTTCTTAATTTGCTTATGTTTTGTCATTTTGCCATTTCTTGATTTGGATTGCATTGGACTCTCTGGGCCATTGTAGTATTGAGCAAAGCAAATCTAAAAACCCACTGTATACTACCTGAACAGCAACAACTGACAGACAAAGTTAGCAACTACTTGGTGTATGTACATAGTATATGTTGTGTGTTGCATGTAGCAGCTAAAAAGTTGGTTGGGACCTAAACAAAGCTAAAAGGAGAGTGAATACTGGAATACTGGACTGAATACTGGAATATAATCAGGTGGACAGAAACAAGACTCCAAATGAATTCGAATTTTGCTCTGTGTCTGTTTGATATGTAAATTAGCTAACACATGTAATTGCTAACACAATAGCTATATTAACTATATAAACAGATAATATGTTTGAAACTTGTTGCACTGTCCCTACATGGCCTCAAAAATAAAACAAATTCAGTTATTGTGTAAAAAAATCGTAATCCTAATGAGCCTAATTTTCTAAAAATTATAGCACCTTCATTCTTCCTTATCATGAAATCAAAAGTCATTTGTGTACCTATTTTGATAAAATATGAATTTAAAAAAATAGAAACCATTTGTTTTGTACAATGAATGCTATCTGTACAGTTAAAACATTTAAATCTCTTGTTCTGTTTGGCCACCGTCCTCATTCCACCCCACCTTGTAAATCCACAGAGACACAATATCACTCTTCTGATCTTATTGTTTTTTTGTTTTTTTTTCGCTGCCCAAATATATAAATATCAGTGCAAGCTTTCAATTTACATGGAGGTAGAGTTGGGGATAGTGGCTTAGTTCTCTGAGACAATATGGCGACCATACAGAGGTGGCCAGAGAAGGGTTGGGCACTCTTACAGCTTTTCTTGGTGGTGTCTTTCTCTCAGGCTGAAGAACTGGTGTGTAGGCAGACAGGACAACCTGAGAACGCCCCACTATTTAAAGATGGGGACATTATGTTGGGGGGAATTTTTGCTTTCCACAGCAGCTGGAAACCCAGACAGGATACCTACATGCACAGACCACTGCCACTGCAGTGCACCAGGTAAATTATGGTATTGTAATATTTTTAATATCCAAGAGGAAGTGGAAACAGATGTTCGTAAAATGTTACGAAAAGTTTACTAAACTGAGTATTACAACAATAACTATTTGTTGTGTGTATTAATAACATCAAATGCTTTCTTTTATCTATACTTATGTTTCTGTTTTAAGATCAAATTGGTTGCAATTACAAACTAAATCTAAAACTGTCTGCATAAAGTTTGAATTTCAGAGGGTTCCAGTATGCCCAGGCTATGCTCTTTGCCATAGAGGAGATTAATAACAGCACAGACCTACTGCCTGGGATCTCTCTGGGCTACAAGATCTATGATGTCTGTGGCTCTATTGCCAGAGGTGTGAGGGTCGCACTGGCCTTGGCTAATGGTAATGAAATTGTGTCTGCACCCTCCGAGGCACCGTGTACCAGACCTGCCCAAGTACAGTCCATTATGGGAGAGAGTTCTTCTTCTCCTTCCATGGCTATAGCGACTGTCATTGGACCCTTTCATATCCCCATGGTGGGTAAGATTGTTAAAACTGAAATCATATTAGTGAACACAATATATTATTATTTTCTATGTTTTGTAATTGAAAGTATTGCAGTTTGCTGAGTGAATATTTTGTGTTCTACAGCTTTAGCTTTGTAAATCATTTCTTATTTCTTTTAGATCAGCCACTTTGCTAGCTTTGTGGGCTTGTCTCCCAGTGATAAGAAACCCAAGTCCCCCCATCGCTTCCTCAGAAACAATACCAAGTGACTACTGACCGAGCAGAGCCGCTGGCCGCAGTTGTCAGGCACTTTGGCTTGGACTCTGGTTGGAGCTATTAGAACAACATGATGATTACGGCAATAATGGTCATGGCGCCACTTTCACAGAAACTGCCCAGCAGCTGGGCATTTGTCTAGAATACTCTGTATCTGTCTTTAGAACAGATCCCGCAGACAAAATACAAAAGATAATTGACATTATCAAGGCTTCCACTTCCAAGGTGATTGTTGCATTCCTCTCCCACTTGGATATGGACATGGTAATACATGAGTTATCTCACCACAACTTGACTGGGTATCAGTGGGTAGGCAGTGAGAGCTGGATCTCTGATTCCCAAACTGCAGCAATGGATAGGCATCACATTCTGGATGGTGCCATAGGCCTGTCCATCCCAAAAGCACATGTCAGTGGCATGACAGAGTTCATGTTGGACATGAAACCACTGAATTCAACTAGTAATGAAATGTTCACAGAGTTTTGGGAGACATTATTTAGCTGCAAGTTCAAGCAGTCAAAGTCATCAACAGAAAATCAGAGTGAATGTACTGGAGATGAAGATCTGACTGGAGTGCAAAACAGCTTCACTGATATGTCGCTCATGCCTATCTTTTACAATATTTATAAAGGTGTGTATGCTGTGGCTCATGCACTTCATAGTATGCTCAGCTGTAATAAAACATGTAACACCAAGGTGCAGCTAGATCCATTTATGGTGAGTTGAACACCAAAGACTTCAATCACAGTTTTTACAAGTCACAAAGTCTGTCACATTGTTGATGTTGTTGTCTACATTGATGCATATCTTCTTAGATTTTACAGCACATAAGAAAGATTCAGTTCAAAACAAAGGAAGGAGATGAGGTTTACTTTAATGAGTATGGAGACCCAGCAGCAAAGTATGAAATTATAAACTGGCAGCCAACAGAAAATGGCATTGTGG